CTTTTTAATAATATTTCCTTACCTAATGTGAGGAACTGAAAAATAAAAATGAACTGATATTGAGATATAAAGATTCCACCAACATAGCAGCTGTCCTGAGGTATAATTTTAATTTAACTTCTGTGTCATAAAACAAAACAAAAAAAAACAAAAAAAACAAACTGATCATATCTCAGTTTCTTCCTCTTAAAAAAAAAAAAAAAAAAAGGTGGCCTGAAACTAGATAAGCTGCGAGACCTCTTTTAGGTTACAAACTTTGTTTTAGACAAATATCTTAAGATGACACTTTACATGAAATGTTGCAAAATTATCAGAAACCTGCCACATTTAAAATTAACAGGCTTTCATTAAATAACTTGTGGTTAAAGTATTTCTTTAAAATCAATGGAAGTTTAATTTTAATTATTAAGCATGCTACTCAATACCAGCAAATGGGTTATATAATTAACTACATCTAAATAGAAAAGTTAAATAATAGGAAAATGACTTTTAAATGTGCAGCACAGGACCAGTTGTTATATTTTCATTAATTGTCATGTATCTTGCCATGTCCTTTATCTGCTGGTGAATTTACAAGGAACAAAGCAGGTTGTGAATTTTTAATAGGCTTTCCTCAAGGAAAGAAAAGGTCAGTATTAACATAAAATTCTTCTTAAAGATTTGTGGCACAAATGTTTCACACAGGAGAACAGGTGTTACTGAGGAACTAAAGCCACAATAATCTGACATTTTTTCTATGTTTAAAGAAAACTTAATGTCTCACATAATAAAATAGCACAAGGTCAAATAAATACAAAAGTTATTTCAAAGTGGATGTGGTAAGTTACTTGGCGCATGATCCATAATTGTATTTCTTGGTAACGTAAACAACTAATTTTGTTCAATTAAGTATTTAATAAATCCAAGTATTGATACCTAACATCCAAATAAAAAAAAAGAGAAGAGTAATGAGAAAGCTATCATTGCCAGGACTAACCAACCCTGGTCTGATCTTTACTTACTTAGTAAATGAATTGGAATGTGAAATAAAATTCTATCACACATACAAGGAATGAGGAACAGAGACATTATACCAGGGTAAGGGTGGAAAAATATACAAAAGAAGGATAATTAAAATAATAAAGAGCAACTTAAAGAGAAGAGAGGACACTTAAACAGGAGAATATAATTCAAGAATTTTGTCCACTGGTCTCGTTCTGTAACTGATAAGAAATCAGTAATACCAGCATACCTTCTATAAGTTAGCTCTTGTCTTGTGAGGGTTTCAAACATGGTTTCAACTCCCCAGGTCTCAGGGGGTCTAGAAATACATCTCTCTGCCTTATAGTAAATATCTGTTGCAGTTTCTTTCTTGTCCAGTTCCCAGACATGTTTATTTAAATCATATTTTGATTAACACAGGCCAATGGTAATTTAGGCCCCTTATTCTAGTGTTAGTGTTCTTCAAGAAAATAAGATACTTTTTTTTTTTCCCCCACAAGCTCTAATGGTTTAAGAAAAATGCATTATAAGTCTGGCTTTTTAAGACCAAAACTTATAAATGCATAGGTCTAATTTGTTTCCCTTAATTATAAGGAAGTAGAAATACTTTCATTTCTTAGTTGTGTATAATACCCAGTACTCATCACAACACGTGCCCTCCTTTTTTTTTTTTTTTTAAGATTTTATTTATTTATTTGACAGAGAGAGAACACAAGCGAGGGGAGTGGGCGGGGGAGAAGCAGGCTTCCCACTGAGCAGGGAGCCCGATATGGGGCTCGATCCCAGGATCCTGAGGATTATGACCTGAGCCGAAGGCAGATGCCTAATGACTGAGCCACCCAGGCGCCCCCAACACGTGCCCTCCTTAATACTCATTTCTGATTCCTCAAACCACAGTCCAGCTTTTAACCTTCATCTCTCTGATTTTGTTCTACCATGTGCAACTTCCTAATCCCACGGAAAGTTCCATAGTATGGGGCCGAATTACTAGACTTCTCTTTCTATAGTATAAGTGAAGGTAAAAATCCTGCTGTGATTCATATTTCAAAGTTGAACTTTATAATAATTAAGATCTCATCATTCTAGCAATTTTTTTGCATGTCTAACTGATTAGAATAGCAGACCTGGTCTTAATGATTTCCATCTTGCTGTATATCCTTCCCCACTCCAAATCTACATTCTGTATTCACCTAGTGTTCTGTACAGTTTGTAAAAAGCAAAAATATCCCAAGTTTAAACCTCTACTCATTCTTTATCCAGTAGTTTAAGTGATAATCCTGTAGGAAAGCCTCACGTACTGCTGTGGGCTAGTTTTGGAGATGTCTTGTGAATTTCATTTGAATTTTCCATAGCACTAGAATGGAATTGCTGATTAACTTTTAGAAGTACTTGATTCTTATGAGAGTAAACACGTATTTCTCAATTACAATTGTTGAATGAATAGACAATAAATGTCATAACTGTTTGCTACAAACCACAGTTATCCGATCAAATGATTAACAATATCAATAATCTTTTCTTGAATTATTTTGATTCCCAGGCAGAATAAGAAATATGCAATGCTTATATCTGCCATTTGGAAAATTGCCATGGTTGCATATTCATGTAATTGGAAAGTTTCCTGGCAACTACATGTATTTTCAATTACTAAAAAGCATCAATCTTGTGACTTTTTGAGAGTGGTTCCCTGGACAACACAGTCATATGTTACTTCTGAGAGCTTTTTAGCTAAAAGCAGATAGTTCTTGAGTTTCTCAACCTTACCTTGTTATTTATGAATAGCTAAAAATGCAGTAAAAAGCTATTTGTTCCCTGACTTATCTTTTTCTTTAAAGAGCATATCCATTTGGGTTGTTTTTTTCCCCATTATATCTGTAATAATGAGTTATTTGTCCAGAAATCAGAAAAACTGAGTTTGATCCAAATTTGATGGCTTAATGTTAATTACTAAAAACCATTAACTAAAGAGTAGACTGCTTTTATAGACCCGACAATAGCCAGTAATACAACATATTAGTCATAGGTGTGTGTTTCTAACATATGTTTATTTTAAACAGTTTCAGGTTCATGTAAAAATGATTCCGCAGCCATGTCCATTGACATAAGCTCCAAAAAAGAAAGAAACTTTCAAATAAAGAAGTAAAATTCTACTTTAAATAGAAAGTAATCAGTTTAATATTCATATATGCAATTAGATGAAAATGTCTGTTGATGTAATTAAGCTAAAGCAAAATACCAAACCTTATTTAGATAAATATCTAATTCTCTAATTTTTTGCATAATTGAAGGATATTGTCTCCAATTTTAATTTTCTAGGTTATACATCATTGTGCCTATTCTGATTTACGACTACATTTTACACAAATTCTTAAAAAAAATGTTTGCAATGACGTCTAACTTATAATAAATGCCTTATAGAACTTTAGAAAATCTACATTTTTTCATATTTTTTATCTGATAGAAAAACAAAATAAAAATTTTAAAAACATAATCTCTTACTGCAAATAATCAAACTATGATCCCAGCATAGAAAATGTTTATTGGTTGGATGGTACAATTAAAGAAAAAGTTACAATCCTTGTATTTTACAATGCCGTGCTCTGTCCCTCCTACACCTAAGCCCCACCATTCAGGGTAAGAATTCCATGGAGAGCAGGGGATATTCACATTTGGAACCTACACATCAATTTCCAGATCATATTCAAGGTACCTGCGACCCATTATTCCCTGCCTAGACATCCCCAGCTTGCTTTTAGGTACAAGGAGGCTCTCTCCTTCAGGTCAGTCACCCAAAAGCCAGACTTATCCACTGTTATATGCATCCTAAACCCTGGGGACAGTCCTAGTGGGCATCTATTAAAATACAACATAGCTGGGCTCCTGGGTGGCTCAGTTGGTTAAGCGACTGCCTTCGGCTTAGGTCATGATCCTAGAGTCCCAGGATCGAGTCCCACATCGGGGGGGGTCTCCGCTCAGCGGGGAGTCTGCTTCTCTCTCTGACCCTCCCCCCTCTCATGCTCTCTATCTCATTCTCTCTCTCAAATAAATAAATTAAATCTTAAAATAAAATAAAATAAAATAAAATAAAATAAAATAAAATACAACATAGCTGGAATTTGCCCATGAAAACATGGAATCCTGGATCTCATTTGCACGGGGATGGGTGACACACTGGGTTGAAATGTCCACATGAATGCCTGCAACGCTCTTTGACATGACGAGTGAATTCTGGAAGATTAGTGTTGTGGGCATAGACGAAGGGCAGGAAACAGACATGCTTTGTATTGCCTTTTTCCTGCACAAAACTTGTTTGAGGTTATTAAGAAGATAGATTTGACAAGGTAGGAGCCTATATAGAGCATATTTTATTGTAGAATTTATTAACTTGATTTATAATTTTAAAATAGAGACATCTATTTTTACTCTTTGCCTGAGTCCCAAAAAAATCTGTGGGGCAATCTTTTGTGTGTGTGTGTGTGTGTGCATATGTGAACCAAAAATTAACACATAGTGTTTCTAAAATAGGAGCTATGTCTCTTACTACTTTGCCTGTCTTACAGTTAAGACATCTCTAATTCTCCCGTGGAAATGCAATAACAAATAATAAATTTATAAGAATTTCCTCAATAATATGAGAGTAAAAGAATTTTCCACTCACAGAAAGAGATGAGAGAAGTAATGTTTACACAAGCATGTCAAGACTGATGACATATGTCTTTGTCAAGAGTTAATTGCCTATGAAAATGGTTATTTACCAAGCAAAGCAAAGAGGGGAACTGTGTTTGGTTTATTTTTACTACTTTTTTCTGTTTAGAGTAAAAATCATACTGATATGTGAGAGGCTAGTCTTATTGTTTAAGATATACAGATGAGTGTGTTCATACTTATTCAACTCTCATTTCAAGAACTAAGATAACTGACCCCATTATTCAGTGATGGGACATGAGAGACTTTGAATTCTTCAGCATTATGTATTTTCAGACATTATCATGGACGTGCTCTTTTTTTATTTCCCCTAGCTTCATTCAGACCAAGATAAAGGAGATGGATCACTCAAATATATTTTATCTGGAGATGGAGCAGGTACTCTTTTTATTATTGATGAAAAAACAGGTGACATTCATGCCACAAGAAGAATTGATAGGGAAGAAAAGGCGTTTTATACTCTGCGTGCACAAGCTATTAACAGAAGAACTCTGAGACCGGTAGAACCAGAGTCTGAGTTTGTGATCAAAATCCATGATATCAATGACAATGAGCCAACGTTCCCAGAAGAAATTTATACAGCTAGTGTTCCAGAAATGTCTGTTGTAGGTAAGTTAATTTATAAGAGTTATCATGGTATACAAAAAGTATAAAAAATAATTATCAAGAGGGGTGCCTGGGTGGCTCAGTCATTAAGCATCTGCCTTTGGCTCAGGTCATGATCCCAGGGTCCTGGGATCGAGCCCCACATCGGGCTCCCTGCCCCGCGGGAAGCCTGCTTCTCCCTCTCCCACTCCCCTTGCCTGTGTTCCCTCTCTCGCTGTGTCTCTCTCTATCAAATAAATAAATAAAATCTTTAAAAAAAATAATTATCAAGAAATTCTTAAAATACTATGATCATTTAATTGACATCTTCTTTGATTCCCTCCAAAGAGTACTTATTTAATTTCCTCATGTTGAAAATCAGTGAGAAAAAAAAAAAGATTAATCGTTTCTTACATGTTATGGATTTGTAAATCTTTACAAATAAGTAGATACTTCCCTCAAAAGCCCAAGAAAATACCACTGAACTTTATTAGAAAACTATGAAATACCATCTTTGTCACATAGATTTGTATAACAGCTGTGTAAAATTCTGATGCCAAATATATTATAAGCACAGTCAGAATACTGTAGATGTAGAGTCTTTATAATTTGTCTAACGAGTTTGTCTGGATTATCTAGATAATACAAAAGGTGGAATTGATTAGATTATCTGATTCTTTCATATTAAGTATTTTAAAACATCTTTTAATTATAATCATTATATGTAAAACTCTGCTGATATAAATCTGTTATTCAGATAAACCAGTTGAAATTCCACAATCACATACTGATACAGAATTGAAAATTTAGGTTGTAGAATCTGTAAGACAGAAGGCATGAAAAAGCTGTAAGTATAATATTCAAGATAATGGAATTTTCTTTTTCATTGGAAATAAATGAAAGTTGTATTTGTAAGCAAAGAAAGTTCAGACTACTTTTTTTATTAAATAGAGAATGACAAAAAAATAAATATCAGGAAGCAATGATAACATTTTTTAGAGATATATATTTAGACTTAGTAGAATAGTTTTATTTCTCAAATGTGGGAGAAGTCCTATAAACCAATGAAATAATTCTGATACTTTTAACAGTTGTAACAGCACACTTTCAACTCTGCATTTCTCAAAAGCATTGTTCTGGGATTATATTTAATATTTATTTCACTAAATCCCAAGGACTTTGGCAATTGCTTTATTATAAAGCCCTTCTATATTTCTTGAACTTTATTAAATAGCTTTTAATAGTTCATGGAACTTGGGATCATCTTGGATTGTTTCTAAATTTAGAATTTAATCTATTCATAAAATTGTATTCTAGAGCAGATGTTAATTATTTTTACAGTTAATTAGTGGAGAGGAGGAAAGAAGAGCACACCTACTCCTTTGTGATCAGATATGCCCTTTACACTAAACAAATCTATTATGTGAAAATGAATTTAAATATCAAACCTGAGATTTGCAGAGTAACTGCATTTATTATAATCTGATACATTGTAGCATTACTTATGCATGCATGAAAATATACCTGTTGGCTAAATATGTAGCTGAATTCACAATTTTCCTGTAATAACACTATAAATATGATTTTCTTGTCAATTATATATAAATATTTCTTTAAGAGGTCATTATTAAAGCCAAAAATCATTCAAGTCTTCCATGAAAACCAGTGCTTTTGCTCCTCCTTCTGGTACTGTGCAGAACTAAGCTGAATTTGGATACTTCAGGTACTTCTGTGGTGCAAGTCACAGCTACAGATGCCGATGACCCTTCCTATGGGAACAGCGCCAGAGTTATTTACAGCATACTTCAAGGGCAGCCATATTTCTCTGTGGAGCCTGAAACAGGTCAGGAATCATGAATCACTGTTCATTTAAGTCTTTATGATCTTTATAAGTAGAAAAAAGGTGGGAAAATAAGAACATTAACAGTAATACAGAAGAGTGATGATGCCGCACTTAAAGATTTAAGAATTCAAAGTTGAATTATTGAGTGAGCTGATCGAAATATATCTGATTTTTATGTTTTTTTTACCTATGAGTTTAGGCAACTATATAGGACATATGACCACGCAAATGGTAAAATATTTACATTGAATCACTTTTGCAATTTCTAGACAATAAAAATTAATAGCAAAAACATACTTTGTCTTTCAAAAATCACTAGGTAGATAATTTGTGGTCTTAGTCAACTACTAGTTGAGATTTTAATGAGGATAACAGAAGTTTTTTATATTTTCTTCAAGGTATCATCAGGACTGCTTTGCCCAACATGAACAGAGAAAACAGGGAGCAATATCAAGTGGTAATCCAGGCCAAAGATATGGGCGGCCAGATGGGAGGCTTATCGGGGACCACCACGGTGAACATCACACTGACAGATGTAAATGACAATCCACCTCGCTTCGCCCAGAGTAAGCTGCCTTTCATGGTCTTTCCACAGGGCAAAAGCTTTGGACTGAAAAGAGAAAAGTAAAAAGCAATTGTCAATCATTTAATTTTCAAAACATTGAAAATTGCTACAAACATGAAGAAAAGGTGCATATGCTGATGAATTCACTGTTACTAAAATATAAAAATTAAATATTTCAGACATATTTCATTTAGAAACAGGGGATCTGTGATCACAAAACCTGCATCTATGAGTGTAATCCAAGAACTGTTTCTTTTAGTTAGCAAAAGGAAATAATGTTTTATTGGAATACAAAGCCCTACTTCTACAATGAATGTGTTTATTTCCACTTAGAATTTAATAAGAAGGATCCTAACTCGAGGGTAAAATTTTTCAATAAAGTATCTAATTTGTCATAATATGAAGACTTAGCCAGAAAGGGCAATATAGGCCAGAACCTAACAAACTAATCAGACTTGCATTTAATATCACTGGGTCAGACCTGCAGTTACTATTTCTGTGTTTGGAATGGTAATCATACTAAAAGATTTTTTTTATACTAAAATATTTTGTATTCCTGACCCATTTAGTTATAAAACACTAAATCTATTTAGTGTTACTGTTTTCTACTTCGATCTATTTTTGTTATAAAATGAACCCTTCAAATTCTCAAAATAGATCAAGAATAGGTTAGGAATCATTAGATTCTGACCGTATAATACATGTATTTATTCTCTTTTTATACAAATTTGGTAGAAATGAACGGACACTCCCAAGAATCAGAAAATTTCCCGCTAACCTGAAAGATCCTATACTTCAAGATGGAATTTTATGTTGTTAGAAATGTGGCATAATATGCAGGCTGTAGTAGGATCTATGTCCTTAAGTTTTAGAATTTGCTGTGTATTAACTTCTAAATTGATCCCCCAATTTTAGTTTGGTTTTAGCTTAAATCCTTTTGTGATATCATATTAAAATGTAGCTTTTTGTGATATTTATATTTTTATACTAAAGACTACGATGCAGAAGGTATTAGGGTCTAAGAATTTATTCTATTATTTTGACTGTTTAAAAGCATTTTACCTTTTTTCTATGCTATTTTTATCTAACTTTGATTATTAATAATAGTGATGATTTGAATTGAATTATTTAATATCATGTGTGTAGAAAAATTATAAAACTCACATAGAATTTTTTTGAGCAGACTAATCTTTTGCTTATTATTTGTGATGATCATTTTGTTGGATATTAAGTTATATGCCCATTAGGTATGCTGTTGTGGTGTTTGGCCCAAAACACAGAGAAAAGAGTATTCGTTTATGCTCTTTTCAAATAATCAGATTGCAGCTCCAGATTACCTGTAGCATGGGCAGGGAGAAGAAAACCAATAATAATCCCTAATTGTTCTTTTAGAATAAATCTGAAGACATGCCTAGTTGCATTAAAATTCAAATTTCACATTTTGTATATATTTCTGACCACCTCTTAGCATGAATTTATTATCAGGAGAATGAACATGCAAATCTGGGAGAATAAACCATAACTAATTAATCACATTATACACAATAAGCAAAAGTAGTCCTCAAAAAAGTATTCTGTCAATAATAAATGACCATTAAGAGGAGTATTATATTTTAAATGCTCAGGAACATATATACACATATGTCAAAAATGCAGCTCATCTAAAAATGGTGCATCCAATTAAGCAAATTAGTGGATTCTAATTAAAGGCAAAAACTAGATATCTGAAAAATAATAATGCCCAATGAAAATTCATTTTATATTCTTTCATCTACTACAACACCTTTATTAATTCGTTCGATAATTATTTCCTTTCCTTTTGTGAAGTCAGAATTTATGATTGGTATCTGATAGTCACATTACACAAGCCCTAACATAATTTTAATAGTCATAGCCCTGATAATAATAATAATATAATAACAATAATAATATAATGATGATAATAAAAAGAAGCAGCAACATAACCTATTTTCTGAATAACATTTTTTGGGGGACACTGTACTGATTTATTTATTGACCTACTTTATTTAATCCCAATAACTCATTCAGCTCAGTATTATGATCTCCATTTTACAAATGGGGAAACCAAGGTTATAGATGTTAAGGCCAAACTATAAGTAATGAAAGAAGTGGGTTGAAATCCATGTCCAACCACCTATGTACAATATGATACATTTAGAGGAATTTTAGAGTACCTTGTATCTTGTCTCATTATTTTTTAATTATAGATAGAAACATAATTTGTGAATTTTTATTTTCTCAATTATCTTTTCTGCTATGAATATTTGCAACCATATCTTACTATTGGGAACACTCATGGCAATTAGAATGTTACTTGATAGTCTAAGTCATCTAACATCCAGAAAACTAGTTTTTAATTTCTAATCATTTCATTAAATAGCCAATGTTTGGAGAGAGTTCCACACTTTAGGAAGACCATAGGCAGCATAACATTGTGAACTCAGAACTAACCTATTTAGACCTCTTGTTGTTGTTGTTATTATTATTATTATTAATTATTATATCCACTGTATGGAAAAATGAAGGCGATTCAGAGTGGAAATGATAAAGACAACAAACAAATGCTGCTTACTAGAAATATAATGCAAACCAAAAAAGTATGTGGCACGTATATAATTCTAATTTTTTATCAGCCATATAAAAAAGTTAAAAGAAGCAGAAGACATGTATTTTTACCATATATTTTCTTTAGCCCAATATTGTCCTTTATACATATCAATATGAAACTTATTCAGATATTTTATATTCTTTTTTCCACATAATTCTTTGAAATATCCACTTACATCAAGTATTTTCTAGTTGTATCAAGTCTCAGTTCAGACTAACCACATTTCCTGTCAATAGCTACATGAGGGTTAGTAGCTTGGCTTAGTGGCTGCCATATGGGACAGCTCTGGAGCAGACCATGGAGTCATTCTGCATGAGTCCCAATGTTGTCTTCTTCACTTAGTAGCTTTCTCATGTTGGTCAGTTAAACTGAACCCTCTATTTTTCAGTGCCATTCAGTAAACCTGGATAGCAGTGCATACTCCATGGAACAGTGTAAGACAAAACAATTTGACATCTGTGAAGCACTTGGCTCAGTGGCCGGCACTAGTGTATTTATGCGTTCAGTAATGTTGATTTGTGCAAGTACTGCCCTATTACTATTATTAGTCAATATTATAAAAGTAGCCTCAGAACTTAAACATCCATGTAGATTGGCTGATCCAAATTCAACATTTCCCAGAATGCTATATCTGTGGAAGATAAACATCTCAGTCATTTAGACGACAGGGAGAGGTGGAAACTCAGATGTCCTGCTTCATTGTTTACCTTATTTTATTGTGTGGATCTACAGCAGTCATTCTCAGTCAGGGACAATTTCGCCTCCCAGAGAACATTTGGTAATGTCTTGAGACATTTTTGCTTGTCTCAACTGGTGGCTACTCCTAGCATCTACTGAGTAGAAGATAGGAATGCTGCTGAACATCCTCACAATTCACATGAGAAAGAGTAACTTGGCCCAAAATGTCAACAGTGCTGTGGTTAGGAAACTTTGATGTTATATGAGGATCTGTTCAAGTGAAATCATAAATTCATTTACCTAAAAATATTTATTGAAAACACACTTGTACCAAACATTATTATAGAAATGAGATATATGAATTTTGTCAAAAAAAAAGTCCTGGTTTTTGTCACCATGACCTTTCATTACAGTAGGGGAGGCAGATCAGACATAAGTAAAAACATATACATACGAGGTCTTGGCTCAGTCATGGATAAAAAGACAAACACGTGTGTGCCACGGGGAAGAATAAGGGAAGGTCTCGTTCAAGAGGTGATATTTTATCCAAACATGGCAAGATGAAATAGACCCAAGCAGAGGTAATGGCATGTGAGAAACGGTAAGATTGGAAATTGAGTGATGGATGTCAAGAACTAAAGATGGTGTGGCTGGATCATACCAAACAACAGGAGGTTGCTGGGAGATTAGATCAAAGAGCTCTATACTCACAGGGACTTTGACGATAGTAAATTTTTATTGGTATTAACAAACAACAAACTTAGGTCAGGTATGCCTGACATAAGTTATCATCATGGTCTTGTGCTTTTAGAGGTGTATGGATAGGTGAACATTAATATAACATGGGCACCCACCTTTGGTATGATTCCAAAAGAGGCAATGGATTAGAAGATTAGGGGGCACCTGAAAACTGAGTTCCAAAAGTATTTTCTGCTATTTTGCTCTAGATACTAACTTGCATTTTTCACTCTCAAAAAAATACCTCTGTTGAAATTGTCTCATAGTCCTGGGTTAGTTCAAGTGACATAATTTGATTTTTAAAACAATAAGTGAAGAACAAAAATTGATCGCTTACCTTCCACTGACAAGCACTGTGTTTGCACCTAAGCACATGAAGATTAATGTCTTGATTCCTGATCACGAGTGGCTTATTGTCTAGCAGGGGAGAGAATATTTCATTAGGAAATCGTGTGTAATAAAGGAAGTATGCACAAAATGCAATGGGCAAACAGAAGAGCAACACTTATCCAAATAGGGGGGCGAGGGTCTGAGTACCTCATTTACAGTGGAAGCTTTTTTGGAGAACTTACCTCTCTCTCTCTTTTTTTAAAGGTTTATTTATCTTAGAGAGGGAGAGACACAGAGAGAGAGAGAGGGAGAGAGCATGGGCCGGGAGAGGGGCAGAGGGAGAGAAAGAACCTCAAGCAGACTCTGCACTGAGTGTGGACCCCAATATGGGGCTTGATCCCAGGACCCTGAGATTATGACTGAGCCTAAGAATCAGATGCTTAACTGAGCCATCCAGGAGCTCTTGGAGAACTTACCTCTTGATTTAAGTCTTAAAATTACTACTTAAAACTACTATATGCCATAAAGAGAGGAAGAGTTCACCAAGTTGGAAATTAACAAAGTTTCTAATTTATGAAAGGGCATATTCTGTGCAGGGAAAAAAAAATGACAAATGCTTCAAAGTG